TACAACTATGTACACTTTTTATTTTTTTATTTTTATTTTTTTTTTACATTCAGTCTTTTTGCAGAGCTTTCAGCAATTTATTATTATTTTTTTTTAATTAACTATTAAAGTATTTCCTTCTTCCCTGTGCCAGGGAGTTAACACTGATGTACTTTAGACACGTTGGTTTTTTTTTTTGTTTTGTTGTTTTTTTTTTAACCAAAAGAAAACCAGAAGCTCGGAAGAACACAAGGAAATAAAATACAGGTTTGTTATACATGATAAGTTGTCAGGAAATGTAATCCTAGAACATAACTTGGCGGAGTTTTTTTTTTCTTTTTTTTTTCTTTTTTTTTTTTTTTTTTTTTTCTCTTTAATTGAAACAATTATTCACCTACCTGTATTTACTAAAGAGACCGTTAAGTTCAATAAAAGAAACACCACAAGTATAGATCTCGGTTGATAGACAAAAGCTACTGTACCTTGTTCAAAAGATACCAGGAAAGCACAGAGCACGTTGTTTTTCCCTATATGCAGGTGGTACCCCAACATTCATTACCAAAAGGAAAGGAAAAAAAGGAAGAAACCAAGTTGTACAAGTACTGACTGGTAACAATACAGGGCAGGAAAGCCCCCGGCCGCCCGTTCCCATCGCCCAGCCCTCATCCAGGCACCACCTGGGAACGCACAGCCTGCGCCGTTCCTGCCCCTGTTAGCAACTGTAACACAATCCTTATCTATAGTGTTAAGAGAATTAAAAGCCATGGACCGATACTGAACTAGGCTTCATTACACGGTGCATTACTATATTAGTTCCTATATATATCGTATTTATAGTTATTAAAAAAAACTTGCAGGTGTTGAGTGTGGACCAGTAGCATGGGTTTGAATGGCATGATTCTGCACAAAGACCATCTCGCTGAAGAACCTGGTATTGCTTGGAAACGAAAGAAGGAACAATTAACAGAAAGATACCCAGCCCTTTGCAATGACCCGCTTTTCCTTTACAAAAACGAAAAGAAAGAAAGAAAGAAAAAGAAGAAAAAAACCCAAAAGTCGGTTTGCACAAATAAAAATAAACGCCCTAAGGTTCCATTTTGTAGTATTTTTTCAGATATCATGATCTGTGTCAGTCCTTATAAAATATACATTCATATACTGGGGAGCTGTGCTGCGCTCAGCGGCAGGGCAGGGCGCGCGGCGTGGTGCCTGATGGAAAACACACAGCAGCTGCCAAGGCTTCTCCCTGCCTTCCTTCAAGCACCCACGCTGGGCTTTGGGAGCGGGTCGGGGCCCTGCCCAGCAGCACAGCTCACCTTCTCTGGGTACAGACAGTTTCACTGGCCACGGCGGTGCCGCCACGGCGGCCGCCACAGGTATAGCAGCAAAGCGAACAGCGAGCCGGGTCTAAAGGACCCTTTCTGCTCGGCCGGTCCTCACAGGAGGAGATTTCCTGGTGCTCAGCTCCTGGGGGGGTCCCACGGCTCTCCTGCCCACCCCTCTCTTCCAGCATTTCCTATAGGAGCGGTGCTGGGGCTCCCAACTGCACAGCGCGGCCGTGAGGGACCGGGCTGAGCTGTGCAACCTGCGCACCGTTCTTGGCTTTAACCAAGCACTGCTGTCCAAAACAGAACAAGGACAAAGAGCAGCCGTGTCCGTGGAGCAGGGCCGACATCTCCTCCCCCCCCCAGACATGCTGTTTGGCCTTCTCAAGGTTATGTGCGTTCCCAAACTGTCAGTGCATCAAATCATTTCAGTAACAAATGCAGCTTCGATTGGATTCTTCTTTCAACAGTTATTACCAAATAATAATCACACAGTGCAATAAAGAAAGGAAACCAGCAGTTCCTGACCCTGTGAGAGCTGTATTTCATTCCCAGGTCAGAGGAAGAGGTCGTGGGGCCTGAAGAGCACAGATAACGGAGTGTGAGATCACGACCACCGGGGTATCGCTCAGTTTGCTCCATTCCCTACCAGCTGCTGATGCTGTTTCACAGCAGCCTTTCCCAGCTCGCCTACCCACAGGTCCAGCTCAGAAAAGCAAGGGTGCTTCAAGAGTTTACTGCTCCAAGGAAAATCCACTCTGTGTTTGGGTCGGGGATGAGGAGTGCATGGCGGGTGGGAGCCCCGCGCTGCCCCGGGTGGAGCTCTGGGGCCCTACTGCTCCGCTACATTTCCACAGGACTGCGTTCGTGTGTCTGCAAAGATGTGGGCTCCCCCAGAGCAGAAAAGCAGGGCCTTCCCTTGGGGAAGCTGCTGTGGACAGAAAGGGATGCTGAGACCCCACAGGTGCCACAAGGCTGGGCCAGCAGAGCCCCTCGCTGCCCCCAGGGCTGCGACTCCCCACGCTTCAGGGTGAGAAGAGCCACGCTTCCCACTGAAATGCTCATTCTGAACACCAGGCAAAAGGGGTGAAGCTATTTACGGTCAGTTCTCTCTTTTTTTCCTTAAATACACACAGGATACTGGTGTGTGGCAAGGCAGAATCATGCCTCCCGCCTGGGGGCACAAGCAGTTGTTCAGAGTTCCCAACAACTCCTCCAAAGCCAGGCAATTCTCCCTCCTGCCCCCATCTTGACAAGAAAATCCAAGTTTAAGGTCCAGCCAAACCTCACAGAAACAGTTACCGAAGTCAAAAAGGCAGAACAAGATTAAAAAATAAAAATAAAGTGTACCCCTCTCTCTGGAGAAAGGCTCAGACTGTGTCCAGCCAGATATTTCCTATAACCGTCCTATGAAAATAAAAAAATTATTAAAAACAGATTCTTTTAAATTAGGATAATACCACTGTTTAAAAAGCCTCGTCATAAGTGCTTTTCCCTATGAAGTGCTTCTCATAGAAAAATATACAAAATATATTTACATTTATAAAACCTTAAATACTAAACTGTAAACAGAACAGAGTAAAATCCAATGTCTCAATTTGTTAGGCTTGGGGCTTTTTCTTTCGTTCTTTTTTCTGTTTTTTTTTTTTTTTTTCTCTTTTTTTTTTTTTTTTTTTTTTTTTTTTTCTTTTTAATTTTTGGAGGCGTGGAGCAGACCCAAAAGGGAGGAGCATTGACTTGAACCAGGACAATAGTGTCTTTCGATTCACTTTGACTAAGTCTGACTCTTCAGCTACCGTGATTTTCAACCGTGCCAATCGCCCATTTGTTTCCTGTGCATTTTTAAGTGCTGCACGGAGTCCACGAGGCTGGTTAGTGTTTGGCCTTGCATCTTCAGTGAATTTACACTCCATTTTGGTGCCTCTTCCTGTGCCTTTCATGGAAGATTACGAAACGACGTGCTGACTGCAGGTCAGACAGGCACGCGCCTACAGAACCACTTGTTTGTCTCCCTAGGATGCTGTTCAGTGGGGCTGCACACAAATCCCCCCTTCCCAGCTCCTGCTCTGCAGCCAACAGCAGCAGCAGCTCCCACCACTGCTTTCTTCCCTGGGGAGCAGTCCCACGGTGGCAGGGGAGCCCTTCGGTCCCTAGGTCAAAGGAGAAAGGCAGCCTCCAAAGGCAGAAGCATGGGAAAAGACTGCTTCCCTCCTTCATAGCAGGGGGAGGGTGCTGCTGAAAGAAAGCCTTTGCTCACAAAGATTTACAGCTCTGTAACCAGTTGGCACAAGCCCTTTCTCTGCTAAGGAATGCCAGGAATTCCCTTTGCACTCCAGCTGGAATTTCAGAGTGAAACACTATCCAAACCCTTCTCACTTGACTTCTGGCTGCTGTACGACCCTCTCCCCCATTCAGTCTTCCTAGATTAAAGCAGATAAGCCGGAGCCACACGGCACAGCAGCCACCTACACCACACAGCACACCAACCAACTCACAGATAGTGTTTTGGAGATGCGTAACACAAGGAACCACAGACACTCACAAAGTTCTCAGAGTAGCTGGTCGGTGGGGTACGGTTTCTCTCCCTAGGAGAAAAGCGCAGTCACGTACTGTGCTATGGAAACTAATGACACAGCAACCGAACGAAAACGTGAGCTCCACATTCACCTCTTTGAGCCAAGAGAGGTCAAAGGGATGGATCTGCCATCAGTCCTCTGTACTTGGGTGCGGGTCTGCCTTCCCTCCCCACTCCCACTCATTAGCCCCGTTCTGAGAAACAAATTCTGGGGGGGGGGGAGGGTTGGGGTGGGAAAGAGAATAGCAAAAACATAATCACACTGAGGATCTTCTCCAGTCGCCCGTGTCTTTCGTAAGGGTAAGTGTGCGCATGCAAGACATGAAGATGTGGACTCTGACAGAGAAACACAGCCGCCAGTTGGGTCCCTGAGCCCAGCCGATCTTCATTCCTGCCTCTGTCCTTCCCCCTCCCTGCACGAATGGCAGGGCAGGGGGTCGCTGTTAGCTTTGGTTCGCCCCACGCCCTTCAGGGCTCGCTTGCAGCTCGCGGAAGTTCTTAGTTTAAAAACTTCCTGCACTTCTTGGCGCCGCAGTTACAGGGCAGTTTGTTGCTGGCGTCTTCAATGGGGAACTTGTAGTCGTAGGTGAGTTCTTCCCCCCGGTAGATTTTGCGCATGGCGAAGATGACAATGTGCTTCTGGCCATCGATGTTGATGACCCGAGAGTAGCAGTTGGGCTCACAGGAGTGATTGATGAAGCGGGCTGCATTCCCATGCATGGTGGCATCCACCACTTCCGAGTCGTCAATGCGGAACATGTAGCAACCGATCCCCTACACACAGAGAGCAGACAGACAGTTACACCAGGGAAGTTGAGAGAAAGCTGCTCTAATGGGCAGCTCAGCTTAATTACTGCAACGTGCTGCGTGCTGAGAGTCAAGTCATTCAGAATATCTGCAACCCTGCTTCAGTTATTTCAACCCTTTGCTCTTTGGAGCTGCAAGGTGAGACCACACTGATACGTTTCCCTGCCCATGGGAGGAAATGAATCCCAAATCCTGATGTTTCAAATGCAGTTTTCACATGCTCTATGCTTGTCCTACCTTCAGGGCCACTTCTTAGTTCTCCCAGGCTCCTCTCCCTACACAGTAATCTCACCAGTCATGTCTCACAGTGATTTATCTCATCCTATATACATCACTACTTTGCACTGAAAACTGTTTCAGGTCACTAATACAAACGCTAAAAGCATTTGAGAACTCTAAATATTCTGTGATTATACTTGGCCTGGTTTCGTTTAGATAAAATGCTTCTCCCAAGCAATGCCAAAAGCTTCATGAAACAACTGCAATTTGTAGCAGGGAGGTTACTATGCAACAAAGAAGTTTTAATTTGGAGGACTGATCAGTTCTTGATTTTGTTTGAGGGTTCTGGTTTACACACTTCTTTATGCTGTGAATGCTCAAGCTCTGCTCTCACCTGTGACACCTCCTCTGGCACAGCACAGATCTTTCACTGTTTAAGATTCTCTAACTCACGGCACCATAAAAATCAACTTCACCTTCCCTCCATTCCCTGCCCATGAGAAGCACTACTCTGGCTCTGGAACTCGAAACTTCAGCACACGTTTTTGTTACAAACAACTTGAATCCCAAAGCCTCGTTAGTAACCAAGCTCTCTGTCTGCCCCGTTTCCTTGGATGACTGAATGGGAAAGGGGCTTATAATGCTTTTTAAGAAGTTCTGTGAAAGCCCTTAACTCACCTTACTGTCATAGTACTTCTCTCGTTTGTCAGTGAGGATGGAGCGAATGACATTGCCCGAATATTCAATCACCATCTCACCTGCATCAATGTTCCTTTTGCAGAACAGGCCCCGGCCGTGGATGGGAGACCTAGAAAAGCAACAGGGTGAGAGAGTATTCAAACAGCACAAGTGAAAGTCAAAAATGTTGCACCAGCACTGCAGAAAACAAATTTCATGATAGGGACCACAGTAGTACTGTTACACTTCCACAACGTAATGCCAGTGAGAACAACAGTAGGTCTCTCCTACTGCCTTAGCTGTCAGCAAGGTTTTCAGTTTTTACCTTCCTCTGTCCCAGACATCAAGTTTAGATTGTCAGAACAAAACCACACCTGTAGACACCGACTGCCTCCTTGGAAGTCTTCTTCAGGTGTCGGAATCGCATGGGCATTGGCAGGTCCATACTTGTTGCCCTCCTGGAAGACAGAGACACCACTGAGTGATGACACCCACGAGAGCCCATGCCATGTATTTATCTGGGATAGTTTCCAAGACACAAACATTCAATCACTGTGGCACCACAGCCCGCTGAGAACACCATCAAAATTCAGTGTAATGTAAATATACACACACACACACACAGACTGAATGGAGAGCTGTTCTTAATCCTGTATCTCAATCTTTAAATCCTGTATCCTGATTGCTAACGAGCAATCTTTTCTACAAGTTCAATGCAGATAACTTCTTTCCTCCTCAAGTTATCATCAAAATGTCTCATGTCAGCAGGAAAAAGAAATGTAGAAAAGACAACTGGTCTGGCTGACCGCCTTCAGCTGGTGTAGGACTGTAGGAACCTCCCTTGTTTTCCTAGGGCTTGGTAGCTTTGAAGTCTTAAGCACTACCTCAAAAAATAACAAGGTGTAACGAAAGCCGATCTCTCAGTTTTAACACCCCAGCATTATCTTCCCCCCCTTAAACCTTTAAACCCTACTGCATACCGGGCTGATTTCAGCTGTACTTCCTCCTCTTCCTCATCGTTTGGGTTGTATTCTGGTGGCTGTCGGTGTTTAGATGCCAAGAAATTAAACATATCAAATGCAGATTTCCTGTAATTTAACAAAGGAAGTCTGTGTTACTAACTAAAATTAATGCAAACATTTGGTTGGCAGAACAGCTTGGCATGTTTACTGTTTTACACCTTCCCCAGTCTGTCCTCTTTCACAGCTTTTAATGCATCAGGATGACACACAAGAGCTTCTGAGAACTGTGAATAAAGGCACCAGCCAGGAAAGTTTTATTAAACAAAGAAACACAACAAAAGGTGCAGACAAAGAAGATGCAATATAGCTGATTTACTGGAGAAAGTTGCTTACATTTACTTATAAACTGAGAGCTCTCAGCACTCTCGAGATTTCCTGCTTGTGTCCTTGTTAACCTTAACAAATGCAAAGCTCACACTTGCCTCAGGTGGACTTCAGCCCTAGCAGAGCCATGTGGATTCAGAGGAGGTTCATTGGCCTCCTCTGGTTTATGAAATCTGAACTTGTAGTTGTGGCAGTGCTTTGCTCCATAAAGTTGCTCAATCAGAAACACAACGGTATCGTGGATAATCCCCAGCATCCTCAAACCATTCACACCTGGAACAGGAAACAGAGCACAAGAATGGCAAAAATGACCAAGCATATTGGGAATGGGAGCAGCAGCCCATTAAATAAAGCCTGTGCTAGCCTGAAATTTTCCCAGCAGCACTGTGTTAACTAGCTAACACTCCAGGTAAGCAATTTTAATCAATTCATTAGGAGAATTTATTTTCCATTAAAAAAAACAGCAGCTCAACTGAAATTCTGAAGGCAGTCCTACGAGCTGTTTGTTCTTACACATTCAGAAGCACATTAACCCTGGTGGTGGCACTGGTGGTTACCTGCAAATGACAGCTGTTTCAGGCGGGCATTGGAGCGGGCTTCTTGAACTTTGTCGGTCAGTGACTTCCAGGCATCTGCAATTCCACAAACAGAGCACAGAACTGTGAAGGAGCAAACAAGCACTGGGCACCGAGGAGTGCTGTAACAACAGCCCTGCTGTCAGTGTTGGCACACTGATTTCCATCAGCACCATCAGCAGACTTTTATGTACGTGTGCAGTACGCTGTTTTCCTATAAAATGTTCATATCTAAATCAAATAAACTGAGAACATGAAGCTTTCATTCCACCTATGGACTATAAATTCTCCAAACTTCGCTGTGGAAGAAAGGGAAATGAGTTTCTTCAGTTCTTGTAGGACAAGTCTAGGTGTCGTACTGAGTTGTGCCATTTCTTTCCAACACATGGTTCAAACCATTGGTCAACAGATAAAATTGGGATAGTGACATCACATTTTTCAACAGAAACCATGCATTATTATGAACTAGGACTGTTCTAGGGCTGTACATTAGGAGAAGTTGTTTCTCAGTTAAAGGTCTGCGAAAATAAATAACGCTCTCAGAAGTCACAATTTTACTTCTGGCAGGGAAAGTCAAAGGCAGCATAACAATAAAAGCACAGTTCTCACCTTCAATGCTTTCTGCACAGATTTGAAAGCCGTCATCACTTGAGATCTCAAAAACCAAACCTTTCTTGGGTTTCTTCTCACCAAGACACTCTTTCCTCTTTTGTTCTTGCTGCAGCCAAAACATAAGTGGGGAGCTGAAGGTGCTCTCTTCTTCCTCAATAGCTTTTGAGCCTAGGAAAGACAAAAGCTAGTATGAAGGTGGAAATTAAGCAGAAAGAAGCTTTTTTTCCACATCTGAATCAATTACTTATATACAGTGGTCAAATGGCAGGTCAGTAATGTGGCTAAGAAGAACCTACAAAACTCAAATTACAACTGCACTCAGGTAAGGACTCATACGAATTTACCAACATTCACATCTCGGTGAAGAAACAAAATCTATCCATTCTGAAGCTGTTTTAACAACAGATGACATTAGTAGCTTCTAAACAGCCATTACAGGAGAACCAGGTTTCCACAGGACATGATTTGCAGTAATGACAAAGAGCAGAAAGACTCTTTATTATTTTATTTGTGAGAACTATTCACGGTACTGCAATTGTATATAAGTGACACTGGACTGGGAAGATATGTAAGACAAGAATCTACATTTCCAGATTTACTTTGAAGCACTCAAAAAAGGCCTAGGAGCTCTCATATCTGGCAGTCATACTAAAATATACTTTCTAAGAATTGAGATGTCAAAGAGATTTTACTCAAAGGAAAAAAACTCTAGATAGCACTGCAGTGAGAGTGTAAAACCTCACGTACTGAAATTGCCACAAGCTATGAATAGAAACAACTATTGGAGCAGATTTCATTAATAGTGAACAAACCTTTCCTCCCTTCAAGGCATGAATAACAAGACTATTAGCTCTGAGATTTTTTTCTGTGAGAACAAGAGAGACAAATTAGAACAACAAGGTACGAATTTCCCAGTCATGGAGAGTCCCAAGGCCTGGTGCACACGAAGAAGCAACATACCTGCATCTTCTTGCTCACTTGTTGAGGTCTGTGTTGATTGAGATTCTGGGAGAACTGCCGTTTGCCTTCAGAAGGAAGGAAGTGAAAATGAAGAATACTTCATAACCATTTTACTACACCTGAAACCATTGCTAAATGTGTTTTAACGTAAGCTCATCTGGCAATGAACAGGAGGATTCTGTTCAGTGGCATTTATCTTTGTGCTGTCCATCAGTCAACAGATAGCAGACTAGTTCAACAGAACCTGTTGTGTTGTTCTCATTAGTCCTACTCTGTAATACAGTGTATGCTAACACATGATCTGCCCAAGAAATGCATTTCCCACAGCTATATCAAAAGAAATAAAAATAAACAAATAAAAAACGTGACTGCTCATTCCAGACTGAAAACTGCCAAGATAAATCTGTTAGCAAAGACCCCTTGCATTCTCCAGACAATTTTTAATTTATTTTGTTAAGATCAGGCCACCAAAACCTGATGCAAAGGTGTGCTTCGTGCTTACCCTGTAGACTGGCCACATTGTGTTTGCGATGGCTGATCTGTGCTTGCTGCATCCTGCACATCTGTCTTCACAGCAGGAGTCCTGGAAGAAACAGAGTTAGAAACATTCAAACTACCTTCCAAATCGTGCATGCTGTCAATGAGACTGGAAGGCAGCAACAGATCTACTGGGAGTTCCAACAACTGATTCAGCAGATCAGCAAAACTACAAGAGGAGTAACAACAGCTGCTCCTGTGACACGAGAAAACAGATCGCATTCCCAGCACTGCGTGAGATTCAAGTCGTGCACTTGAAGAGGAAGGAGAAGGGTAAGTTTGGCTGCAAGAGGAACAATTCTGAGCAATCACAAGCAATACCTCAGGGCTCAAGTGATGAACACTGACACAATCACAGCAATTATTTACAGTCTGAAACAAATTGGCAAGTAATCAACAACACACATGCACAAAAAGCTATGTTAAGAGGTTAAGCTGTCTAAAGAGTTCTGAATCAGCAGTTTAAGAAGCAGACTTATTCACAGAAGTCACGTCCAGTGTTTCTCAGTTACCAAAATGCTGATGTTCTTTAGCACCAGCAATTATTTGGGACCATCTCTAATACAGCCAGAATTGAAATAAGGGGTGCAGTCCTTAATTTGCCAGAGGTGCCAACAGGGAATAGAAGTCCTCCTAACCTCCTAACCCTAAAAGGCTCAAGTTTCTCAGCCTTCCCTTTCCAGAGAGAACTTCTAAGAACTTCTTTAGAGATCTGCTCTCCAAAGCCAGGTGAGGTTTTACGTCAGAAACTATCAATCAAAAGGCAAATCTGCTATAGAAACAGATGCAACATTCTCTCTCATATTGCTGCAAAATCTCACAGGTGAGCAAAGCAAGCACTTCTCTTACCGTGCAGCTGAGATCTGGGGTGCAGCAGTGGTCCCTCTGTCAGGAACATGTGCTTCAGAGGAACCGGTCCACATGTGAGAAGTTTTGTGCTTCTTTCCATTCCCTTTCTCCAAAGACGGCTGAATGCGTTTGATTTTCGGTTTCATTTTCGATGAGCCAAGCACAGAGCTACTTGCAGACTGCTGACCAGACGACGGGGAGCCTCCAGGAGATGCTGAACTGGCATGCAGCACAGATGAGGAAACCTTGTTTTGTTCCAGTCTGGTACTATTGGGAACATCAACCAGCTGTGGAAAGCTTGACAGCTGAGCTGTGGCTGAAGCTGCACCGAGGTCCAGCTGTGAGGAAGCAATCCCAGTTTTGCTGGCCAAGAGTTGTGTCATATGCTGAAGCTGATAAGAGCCTTCCGGGTCTGTAGATGACTGGGCAACTGTCATGCTCATAGTCTGAGCTGAAGGCAGAACACAGATGCTTGACGCAGCTGTCATTGCTGCTGTAGATGGAGTTTGTGATGTTCCCAGTTGTGAAAACATCCCAGAAGCTGGTGGTAAAGTCATGTGCTGCTCCTGAAGACCAAGGCTTTGCTGACTAGCTTTGATCAAGAGATTGCTTATGGAACCAAGGTCCCCTAATAATCCAGGGCTAGTTAACGTCACTGAGCTTTGTCCCAAAACATGGCTGGGAACTGACCCACCGGTGGTAGGGGCTGCTGTGGCCTGCATGGATACCACGTTCAGTACCGAGGAACTTGATGCTAGCCCTGACACAGGCCCTGCTGGAAGGTGACCAGCATCTGGCCCAATAACACTAGGAGATGTGCCAACTGCACTTGCAGTCCCACTCTGGGGGAGCAAAGAGGTTTGCTCAAAATACATTACTCCAGACTTGGACCTTTTGATAATATTGGGGACGGTTCTGTGGGACGTCGAATTCGCAATGGTTCCCAAATCCAACGGGTGGTTGGAAATTTGGGAAGGAGCAAAATTAATTAAAGTCATGTTTGAGACCATATCAGGAGGAGCTATTGCAGAAGGGGTTCCAGAGGGAGCCAGCTTCTTGTTCTTCCTTGACTGCAGTCGAGATATTGGCCGTTTCTTGCTCAGGGCTGCAGCTGGTGTTGAAGCAGTGGTACCAAGATCAGTCCTCTGATTAGCTTCAGACACCAACAGCTGAGGATCAGGGGGTGGCTGCACACCAATAAGGAGACCTGGCGAAGGACTGCCAATGTTTGGTGGGAAGCCAGTCTGAGTGGCTGTGGAGAAGGGATGTATATGCTGGTGATGGGACATGGGCAACAATCCTTTACTAGTGGGAGGATATAAGGACTGAGATGAGGGCAAGCTTGGATTTAATCCTGTGGTCAGTGTGAGCCCACTCCCTACAGGCCCCAGCACTGAGGCATTCGTCTCCATTACGCTCTGTGCTGAACTCACAGAAGGTGTCAACTGTATCTTTTGAGTAACGCCGTTGGGAAGCGTTTGGAGGACGTAGAGTGGCTGCATATTTTGATTGACCACGAGAAGCTTTTCTGCAGCTGGCTTCAGGTGGGGTGGTGTTGTCTGTACTGCAGCATTAGAAATCTGAGAGGCGCCGGGACTATCCGTGGAATTGGGAACGTACTTCTGGTTCTGCAGGGGAACGGTGGGCGACACGGGCACTTGGATACCTGGAGTCCCACTGTTCCTAGTTAAATCCTGGTTGCTGCCATGTCCTTGCTCTACCGGGCCACAGGGTGGGCTGGCTATATGCTCTGCATCAATGTGACCCTGGATGAAGTGGTCAGGAGTCATGTGCCCTTCAGGGCTCGGGTCTACTCCTGGACTCAGAAGAGCTGCATCGCTCTCGCTAGAGGTGGATTTTTCTGTGACTGTAACTCTTTTTTCCCCAGATTCTGTGGAGGGCAAGGCCAGCATTGACCTCTCTCCTGAAGAGGACAGCGAAGACTCTGAAATGACGGCAAGTCTGTTATGATTTTGACTGGGCACCGTTGGGCTGCGAGTAGTCAGAACGGAGAGATCAGAAGGAAGTTCCAAGGGTAATTCAAATTGCTCCTCTGCTGATATGGACGAAGAAACACTGCTATCCACTGGCTCAGTTGTTGGCAGCTGTTGAGAGAACACTTCAAACAGACCCATGTCTTTGCCCCGGTTGCTATCAAGGCCTAAACCTTCTCCAAGTGTGAGAAGCTCAGACGAGGAGGACTCTGGACTTTCTCCTAAAGCCTGCATGGACGGCGTGTTCTTCAGTACAAAATCCATGATGTCTGAAGGGAGGATGTTTCCACAATCATCGCTGTTGTTATTGTCAGAGTCAGATTTCAGAAGTTCTGTGTTAAAAGTATCCAGCAAGTTCTTATCAGAAGGTGTGCTTGCATGAGCCCTACGGCCCGTTTCCAAAGAGCTCAGCTGAACTTCCAGAGAATCCTGACCTTGTGTTTTAACCCTGCTCACGGGATGGCAATTATCCATCTTTGGATCGGTTTTGTGGACAGCAGGGCTTTTTGTGACTTGTACTTTCTCCCCAGTTTCTTCAGTTCTATCCAGCTTTAAGTTTTCCGTTCCATTTTCTTTACCACTCCTTTTAGTTACTTGATTTACTTTTCTAGTTGTGGCTGTGACACTTGTATCGCTCTCAGTCCCATCATCTACACCATCTAGCTGGGAGATTTTTGGAAGATCACACTGCTCTTCCTCCCTGAATAAGTTATGGGATGCAAGCCTCTCCTCAGGGTTGGAGGAAACCACCGTTCTGGTGAAATTATAGTAGTACAAGTCATCCTCATCTGACGTGCTTAAATCATCCGCACCGTCCACTTGTCCTTCTGCAGACCGCTTCCCTCGCTTCTTCCCTGTTGAGTTACTGTAGAATGGAATGTCTTCCTCTCCATAAGACCTCACACCATACAGAGGAGTCAGTCCAAAGAACATATTAGACCTGGCCCGAGCGCTTCTCCGTGGATACCTCCGCTTGTATGAGCCTTCTTCTTGAGCTTTGGTCCCATCCTGAAGCATCAAGCTGTTATCTTGAACAGGCAGGTTTTCATATGCATTATTTTCAGATTCCTGCGTCGGTGCTTTATTTGGACTTCCTTGAACTACAGAGTTATCTTCTGGGCTTTCAGAATTGGAGGAGGGCTCTGCTGAAGAGGCAAGCTCTGTCCCTGCAGGCTGAGGTTCAGCATCACCTTCCTGCTGTGCAGCTTTAGACTGGCCTTCGCTTTCCATCTTGAGAGGAGTCAGAGTGACTTTGACGGTGCGTTTTCTAGGTGCCTGTGATTCCTTAGGGGCCACTTCAGGCAGCACTACAGAACCTTTAGATGACCCCTGCGAAGGTGGAGACTTCTCAACAGTTTTTTCAGCAGGAATATTATTACACAACCTCTGACTAATTTGTTCAGTCACCAAACCCTGATTACCAAATTCTGACGTCAGATTTCCTTCATCACTGCCTACTGCCTGACTTGAATCTGTGAGAGATTTCAAGGAATGCTTCTCTTTAAAACTCTCTTTCGCTATCTTCTTCCCCTTCTGACGCCTGTCTCTGGTGGCAGAAACTACCTGCTCGCTTGCTGCAGGAGATCTGCTATTTACTCCTGCAGACTTCAGCATCTTTGCATCTATCTCATCAACTGAAGCAGTTTTTTCTGGCTGTACAGATTCCAAGTGCTGATCTCTGTCTTTCCTTGGGCCTCTCTGATGCAAAGATGGAAAGGATACTGTTTCTTTAGAAGAAAATGATCCTGCAGATTCTTGAAAGGTTCCTATTTTAACATTTATTTCTGTGCCTGATGAACTGTTTGGTTGAGTTGATGCTTTGGAGTTTCCTCCAGAAGAAAAACTATGAGCTGAATAATCTGGGTCCCTTGAGGTCAGCGTTTTCACCTTCTCTCCCTTTGAAGGCGTGCTTTTGGCAACCAAATCCGAACTACCAGGATGTTTTCCTTCTGTAGACTGAGATGCATCCAGCTGATAAGTTTTAGTTCCACTTGCAGCTGCTGTCTTCTGGGAGCCTGAACTTGAAGAGCAGCTTTGAACCGGAGCACTTGTGGTACCTGAATTCACAGATCCCACAAAGTGGTCAGCAGTTTTTGTAGTCTGTTCATGTTCTGAAGAGGACCCTATGCTGGGAACTGAAGACAGACTGTGCCTGGAGTAAGTATTCCCAGCTCGCGTAGGTGAAATCATCCGGAGTTTTGACTGTTGCTGTGACAATGAGGAAGTGCTGTGTCTTCTAGAACCAATGCTTTTAAGTCCAGAGGATAGCAAAGGATCTCCCACTGTAACTATTTCATGGGTCATTGGGGTAGGACTTCCTGAGAAAATAGAACAAGAAGACTGTTAAGAGATAGGAATCCTTCACAATCAATACATACCTAATTGTTTCAATCACACATTTCTTGACAGGTCATCTCCACTACATATATTTCAGAAGGTTCCTTCTCTCAAAACCTATTTACATTTTCCACGTTCTTTGGAAAAACAAAAATAAACATCATGTTCTGAATGCAGTAAAAAAAGACATCGAACCAACCAACTGACAGTATCTCCAAAGCAAACAAGATCAAAACAACAATCAAACCCAACAATGCTTGAAATACCTGCAGAGGGTAAAGGCCTAGAGCCAGGAGACCTCTGTGCGGATGGATAACTTGGTGTCCTGATCCTAAGACCCTTTGAGACTGCAGGATAATAACAGGAACTGGAGGTCTGAGAATGCATGGGACGATCTGGAGATGGTGGGTTTACAATTTCAGGTGTGTTTCTGCTGTCTTTGAATAGAGTTTCTGTCATTGCATAAAAGAGAAACAACAGTGTAAGTCATCACTCAATCCTACATGCCATGATCTGGTTAAGCATATGCTGCCTTCAGGTTTCACATGAGGAATCAGGGCATTTGTTGATACAAAGTCAAACACTACTGCTTCCTTGCCATCTGATGTAGTTTTTTTCCCCCAAGAACATTGTTAAATACCTGTTATCAACATGTTACCTGTTGACCCACAAATTACATGCCAACACTGACACTAGAACTTACATTTGATGTTTCAGACCATTAGAAAAATCTCAGCTCTGTAAACTAGAAAGCATTACTACCATAATCTCTGCTTATCAAGCTGCCAGTGCACTCAACGTTGGAATCACAAACGGGGTTCTGGTCCAAATCAGATTTAAAACCAAAAAGTCCTAATTACTACCTGACTTTCTGCTAAGAAGACACTATAGCAAATACATGTAGAAAATATGTACCTTAAGAAAGTCCTTCAAACATTACCTGTAAGGGGAACTGGGCTATGGGCAATGGTTCTGTTATCATCATGTTCTACAGTGCTATTGATATCAGGTTCTACGACTGGCGGTCGGCATTCCATGATCTTGCAGGTATACACACAGCGCTTCCTGGCATCTGTTGTACTCCAGTACACCCTGGAGCACCTGGAAGATAATTCAGACATACGTAAAATAATTCACTCAACAGTCCAGTAAGCCCTGGTATTATTTCACATATTCATTTTCTTGAAATTACACAGGATGAAGGCTTTCTGGTGTAACATACAACACAGATAGCTTAGTCACAAGATTCGTTAACAGTTTATGAAAGCTGCAGTTGATTTCTACCTATGTTACCTCAGTGCTGGTTTGACTTCTGACACTGTAAAAGACACTGTCACAAAACAGCTTATACTCACTGATAGCCAATGGGAAACAACTTATCTTCACAGTCTGAGAGGTCATTCAGAATTCCTAAACAGTCTATCGTCATTGAACCTAAGCAGAGAGAGGAGCAGAAAAGTTCCATGAACAAAACTCCAGCACCAAAGACGAAACAAGTGTTCAGGAACTAGACCTTACCAATCATCATGTGGATGTTCTCTGGCTCCAAGCCACTAAGAAATTTTCTTCTCAGACTGATCCCTTCAAAATCCACAAAAACTCTCCTAAGAACTTCAAACCCATTCTCAGGAACCACCTGGAGCAAGAACCCACAAAACATCCCAGTAAGTTTAAAGGAACCACTATAAATATGCTATGCAACCCATCTTATTATGTCCTCAGTGTGGTCTTCAGTTTGCTATTCAAAGCACACAGTACCTCTTGACAAACTTCCTCATGACAGTGATATCACAAATTTGGATTTAACAGCACTGTGGTCAGGCCCTCCTTCATAAGGAACACACTCAATGTTAACTCTTAAGAAATGTTTATAGCTACAGGCTGTCCCCACCTCCAGGACAAAGCAAGTGTGAAAGATGACTCTCACCTCTCCTTTGATCAAATCACGGTGCCTCTGGCAGTAAACTTTCTTATCATCCAGAAAAACACAGTTCTTGGCTCGTGAGCACATGAAATGATAGTTACTTGTGCAGGAGGTGAGGCAGCAGCCCACTGTGGCACCTGACTTCTGGCAGAACTCGCATCTCTACAAAAGCAAAAACAAAGGCAAACATTTATTTATTCTAAAATCAGGCACCAATAACTGCCAGCTGTTTTCCTCTGCAGTGGTAGGATACATAGACTCACCAGTTGCTTTCCCCTGATCACAGCCATGTGCACATTTTTCAGAGAACCATCATCATCTTCAAATACTTCTGCTGACCACAAAGCACAGTTCACATGTGTCCACTCATTTTGGCCAATATAGAGAAGGCGTCCAGCATCCTAGGGAATGGCAGGAAACCTTTTTTCTTTTTTCCATTTTTGCCCTCCCCCCCAAAATGTTCCACAAGACACAGCAATGCACAAAAAGCCTCGTAGGTTTCAGCTGCACTGGATTTAAGCTTTCCCCAACGGAAGTTTAACATGACAGCATTACTTTCAGAGTTTAAAAGACAAACATTAAGTAGGCAGAGAAAACTGCAGCTAAGCACACGTGATATAAAAAGCAACCTTAAGAAGAAAAAAAATTCTATTCTTGAAGAAATGGCAAGAGGCTTCAGTGTAAGAAATGCACACAGTCCACATACTGATGCAAAGTGACATGGTGAATTTCTTCATGACACGTCTAACAAACACCACGCTACTTTCTAGGCAGCAGAACAGACAGCTAAAGGTCATTTTTGTTCCAAAGAAGGCATGCCAAGAAAAAAAACAAACAAAAAACCAAACTGCTTCACCCCTCATCTGGCCTATTCACAGTACTACATTTGTAACACTGCTTAAGGCAGCTACGATCAAAACGGGTGCATGCCAGATACTCACATTAGCACTATCATCACCATATTTCAGGCACAAGGCACACTGCCTGTTGTCTTCTACATCCGGAGGTGGATTAAGCTCAGGACTATCTTCTCTGCTTCTGTCAGAACCTTAGCGTTAAAAGAAAGAATGCTTTTCATTCTTGAAGGTCAGGAAGGACAAAATTTATCCGGAAGAACTTTCAGTAAGCGAACAGGGCAGAAAAGCCAAATAGCAGCCTAGAGTTTGAATAATCAGCTCGTAAAGCAAGGAAAAGCACACAGCTGCCTCTACACAGCCCTCGTCTGGGGGAAAGAGAGGCAGGTGAAAACGTGTTTCCAGGCCAAAGCTCTGTTCAAAAACATATCAATATGTAACAGCCTCTGAATGATTTCAGGTCTCACGGGTCTCCACAATTCCTCAGTCACATGAAGAACCAATACCACCTTCTCTATGACAAGAGGGCTCAAAGCGAAGCACTTTGGGGTTGGGGCTAACAGTGCTGCAATCTATTTTCTTACCAGAGATAGGTGGTGTAGGAGGATGTAGAGGAGTAGGCGAATCCGGCTCTCCAGGTCCTTTGGGTTTTGGAGCTGGAATGATTTTCTTCATCAGGGGAGGCTGTTCAGTGTGGCTGTTCTCTTCACGCTCCTGCCACTGAGCATAATTATGGTCAAGCGAAGGAGGGAGCACTGCGTTTGGCAACATACCACTGCTGAAGACACAAGGAGCCAGCTGTTAGACCTGGCTGCACCAGATGAACTCCTGCACTGTATATGAACGCTACAGACATGCAACATACTGTAACAACTCCTTTAATCACTTTCAGTCTACACCTGCTCTCACAAAGGCTGTGAGCAATCATTTTAAATTTAAAGTTTGTGATGTAGCCGTGTTTCTTCGGAGGATAACAGATGAAGGGGCAACATGAGATGAGGGAGAGGAGCGATAAGAAAGGAGAGCACTGACCAGCCAACACACAACATACTTATTTCTAAGTAACACTTTTGATTTCTCTGCTTCAGAACAGTGGCGTGTACAAAAAAATGCAATTACTTCTTAAAGCCAGCATCATAATTATCATAAAAAGCCAACCTCACAAACAGGCTCTCTTAATACTTTTTGCTTGGACAGCTGTCAAACCACATACAGTGTCACAGTCAGACACAGGACAACTACTTACTTGCTTGTTACTTTATTTGGCTCCCAAAATCTGGACTTCTTTACACTGAACCATGGAAAAACACGTTCCATTTGCTGAAAGAAAACAACATTCCATTAGAAATGTTATCCAAGGTACCCAGAAACTCGAAGAAATTTAGCCAAGATCTACTATAAATGCACAACCAGTGAGATTTCATTAACATTAACAACTCTGACAAGTTATTATTTTGTTCTCAGAAATGTGCATGATGGACACTTTGGATTCCAACTGCTACAAAGCAGTGTGAAACAAAGGAGATTTCAAAATACCTGTAGTCCCACTCACCCGAATAAAGAAGGACTTGACCATGCTATTGGCTTTTTTAATTTCTGGCTGCCCTCCATCGGAATTAATTGCTGCTTGAATTATCTTCACAATATCATCACTAAAATCCAGCTGCAAGAAAAGCACAACACTGTTTTATTAGCAAGACTGTTTCCTGTTACAGCTTCATCATCCATTAGCTTTTAAGGCAACAGGTGAACTTCAGGTGACAAAAGGACTGAACCAGAGCATTGACTCCTGCAAGAATTTGGCTATAAAGAAGCAAGCAGCTCTGTGCAGTTGCAGACTAACTGGCAGAATGGCTGCACAAACCAACCTGTCATTTTTCCCTTCTTTTCTTTAACCAGAACCTGACTGCTGACACACTTCACATCTCCTACATTAGCTACCTCACAAGCATTTGGCCAAAATCTGGCAACAGCACGTTTGCAGTGGGACTTCTTTACACACAAACCCCCTTAAGATTACAGGCTCTGCAGGAAGGAGAAAGTATTTTCATTTTTTTAAACTGACTTGGTCAACACTTTGAACAACGATCCTTGAAGAGATCACACCTCCACAACATGAGTTTATTGGCTTCCAGCTGACTACTGTCAGTGCTACTTCACTGGGCTTTTTGTTAGAATCTGCAGATAAAGGATGTCCTATTTGGTTTCCATGACCATAAATAACTAAGAGCAAAAGCAGTTTAACCCAGTATCACTGCTGGTTAAAGAGAGGCACACAGCAGTGTAAATTACACGTCTTTGGGCCAACACTAACACGAGTGCCAGACAGAATTATTTTTAGCAGTATATTAGCCTGTTTCCTCGTTCATAAAGAAAAGGCTTAAGCATGCTCAGTTATAAATACCACGGGTCATTAAGCAGTCCATAGAACCTATTATTAGAATGGAGCACTGGAACTCCGACATACCACAGAAATGTAACCTCCTTGATCCATTTTTCTTTTCACTCCTTCCATATCCAGAGGTTGCTGCTCCTCTTGTTTACTGACTTCTGTTAGGACAGGAGGATCAGGGCCTTCTGGAGAGCTTCTCGATGGGATACTCTCCTCTGTCTCAGGATTTAAATCAGGTGGTTTTGCTGCCTGTCAGTATCAAGAAACAGACAGATATTGGCTACTGAAGTGCGGATGCTACCCATGTTGCCCTTGCACATTCACAAGCATACAGATTCTCATTAACATGAAAGAGTCTCAAGTTTGCAATTCCTGTCCAGAAGAGAAGGACAAAAATAACAGCTTTCTGCTGTTGATCTGTAAGGCATACAGCAGGGCAGTGGTCAGCCATAAGGATCAAACTCATTTTTTCAAGAGTCTTATTTCTGATTACATTTCAGGCTTCAGCTTACCTGTCTGTAACGCAGCAAGTGACTGGTGGTTCTAGAATTCAACAGGGCTGTTAAAACCTGTTTTAAAGAAACCTGCAACTCCTTTTCCAGTGCAAGACGCCATTCCGCAGGGTGCTGCTCTGTACAGTTAATGCAGGTGTATGCTACACTCTCAGGCAAGTTAGAGAGTATCTCATACATTTCATCTGGAGACAAAAAGAAAAAAGAACAACCTCTACTAATTTAGTCAAGGACAGATGTGGGGAAAAGCCTTACTCTGTATACAGCACCTACTGTTTACATCAGATGCCCTTCATGTAACTAAAGCATCTTGTGTAACTCATTCGTGTAACTGCATTTGAAGTGAGTCCTAAGCTTTCAGGTTATTACTGATATTAGTTAGGTGTTTCTCAGGCAGATCACAAGCGAGGGTGCTAATGCAACACTCGAGGAGAAAGACCAAAGCGATCCCATTTTGGACTTGTCTGCAGCTGCCTCGTGTTCTTAGGAGCTGAGGAGATAAGAATTTGTCTTACCAGAAAGGTTTTCACATTTGGAGTGTACCCAGCGGTCACATTTCCCACACTGCATCATCTTACTCTCATAGTCATCATCATCGTAGCATTTGTCACAGAGGGGACAAAAATTCCCTGCAAACAAGAAACGAGATGCATGCTTTTACTCAGAAGTTCAACAGTCACATGCACCTTAAAGGCTAGATGGTTACTTACTAGTGTGCTAAGAAAGAAGCTCTCTGAAACCTCCCACTGCTAAGCTGCCAATACAATTGCAGCCACTTTTACAACACTGAAGACAATGGCCACAAAAACAACCTGCTTGAAAGACCAGTTATCCTTCCTTGTGGGCTTGTTGTTTTTTTTTTTCCAGGGAGGGGAGGCATGTGGGGTAGTGAGACTAAGGAGGTACTACTTAGCTTTACAGAGTAGAATGAAAACGACAAGGATGACACACAGGTGAGAACGTAGAAGGGATACTCAAGATTTCTCCCTGGAGTGATCCCTCCTAGATTCAAAGGCCTCACAACTAACACAAGAACAAACTATTATTTTACAATAGGAAATCTGCTGCTTTTAAGTCAGGAGACCTTTAAAACACTTTTTTCCTCACCAGCTGCTTGAAGCCCTGAACCAGCAGGTCTGTAATAACTGCTTTCTATGGTATGGCACTTAATTTTTCAAGTCTCAAACTCTCCCAATATTGCAGCAGTGACTTTTGCTATGCACTGTGAAACCCATGAACAGAGCTTTCAAACTATGCTCTGCTTCTCGGCCCGACACCAGGTTTCACAGGTCTTTACCAGTGACAAGCTCACCAGGCCTTCATTTTAACTCATGCTGACACCATTAGAAACAGAGCATCTGAGAAGGCGCTCACCATAAACAATTACAACGTTACGTACCTTTAGCAAAGAGTTTGGCACAATCATGACACAGTGAGAAGTCATGAGACCACTGAGCATCCCACCCTTTGCCTGGCGTTGTGGATCCACAGCTCTTGCAGCGAACACATTTGGTACATATCTGGAAGAAGGATGTGTTTGTTATTTGTTTTTATCCAGGGGCATTTGTTCCTTTGTTCTAATGATAAATGTAATGGTTTTCTTACTAAATGAAAGCTGAAAGCTTACATGACAGAACAACGAGATTCAAATACCAGAACTTCCACTACTAAAAAAAGAGCTCCCTCCCTTTACGGTAAGATGGCGCTGATATGAGGAAAGGAAAAATAAATACAAAACCTTAAAAAAAAAAGTTTCATATTTGCACTTCAGAAAATACCACCTCTTCCTTCACATAAGAAGGCCTAGTTGTAGCATTTCTTCTGACTTAAAATACAACACTGTATTTTATCAGTTTTCCTACTTTGAATACAATGTAGTAGAGAGCACGTAAAAACAATTAGTACCAAATGCACCTGCAGGCAGAGCTTTAGCACTAAGTCTGTTAATGACATAAGCACTTCCACTCTTTAAAACTTCTTCCACCTTTTGAGGCCACAATCAGAAGAATTATCCCAACTGAGAAAGGTGTAAAACCTTCCAAATCCTTCTCATACAAGCCCCACCTGCTTTAGCAGCAACCCACCTCGGTGAGAAACCTACTCCCAGACGTATCTTCCCATGCAACAGGTGCCCTTCCACAAACAAAACATCTGCAGCGCTTTGGCCCACAGCGTTATGATCAGTTAACAAGGGAATTACTCAAAGAAGAAATCTGAAAAAACCTCACCCAAACTTTCTTTTTCTTGGTGGGTTTGGTTGGGTAGTTTGGGCCCAGGCACTCAGGGTGATAGCTGTTTCGGCACTTGTTACACTCCAGCAGCTGCTACAAGAATAATGGGAGAAAGTATTGGAAGAAAGACTCTCGAAAGAATGCAAAATCCTGGACATTTGCATTTTACAGTTAATCTCCTATTCAGAGCAATAGGAAGAAGCTGCATCTAAGAGACTCGAGCTAAGTCCACAACCGCAGGAGGCAGCGCGCACAGCCTGCGCTGCACCGCCTGCTGTCCCGGTTCCCAGCTGAGGGTTAGAGAGCAGAACTCGAGGAGCAGCACGGGGAAGGCTGGCTGGGTTGCCCGGAGGTCGGGGGTACCTTGGTGGCCTGGTGCTGTCTCCCACACACGTGGCAGAACTTGCAGCGACGGCAGCACCAGTTTTCCAGCTGGTCCTCCAGGGGCCGCTCGCTCTCCTCTAAGCAGAACTTGTGGAAAGGCTCACAACAGACCTGACAATACACAAACTGCAAGGGGGGAGAGGGAGGTTTTAGCAAGTCAAAAGCTTTCCTGAATTCCCGCTCCCGCTCCAAACTACTCTGAATTCTGCTTTACAACTAACAGAACAAGGCCATCTATTGGTATCTCTCACTGGGGAAATGGTGTGTGTACTTCGGAGCACCTAAATATACGCCTGCCTACCTAGATTATGCACCTAGCAGCATACAGGAGTCTGATACCTTTTGTCTACACGTTCTGAGCGTTGGTAAAGGCCTATAGGCCTCTTCAGGACTTCCCTCCCTCGCTGCAACACAAGCCAACACAACTGAAGACACATTTATCAGAGAAGGAAGGGACACACGGAGCAAAGAGACATTCTTCCCTCTGTTTAGCTTAGAGGCTTCATTGGAAAGCTCTAAGTATCCTCTGCAAGGCTGGACATCCTAAAAAAGAATAGTCCTTGGGGCACAAACACTGCAGGCTCAAACAGGACAGAAGAATGGTTCACCTGAGCAACCTGACAGAGAAGGAGATTGGCTCCACATGCCACTGGACCTCTGTAATCTTCAAATGCACTGATGTTCACATGCAGAACTGAACCCATTTCCCTCACGTATTCTTTGCTAATTATGCTCGAGCATTTTCCAGAGTGCTAGCATCACCTTCCCAGGATGGCTGAAAACTTTGAGAAGACATCTATCTTTTCCTGGAAATGCATTTACCAGAATTTAAACCTAACTTCAGCTGTTTATGCAGCACCAGAACCTTGCCAGTCACGTTTCAGCAATGATCTGCAACTCTTTGGAGGCAGAGACACACCAGGGAAAATCAGCACTGCCTCACACCGCTTCAGAACTACTGAGCAGACGTTTTAATTTCAAGTAAAGAGAAAGCAAACTGCCTGCTTTACCTCAGCTGCGGGATCCCAAATTACATTTTAGAAGAGATGCAGGGGCTCTTGGAAATGTCATTCCTTATGGCTGACAGCGTTCGCGTATAAACTAAGCACCACAGAACTCCTCAAAGACAATTCAAATGCTTTTCACTTCAGTGTCTTAGGACAAAGCTTAGCAAGGACAGATTTAAAGGTGTTATTTTAATTTCTTCGGGATTACGGTTGGCATACGTTCTTTTTTCTTTTTGGTAACAATACGGTGCTGTAATTAAGTCATCAACAGCAGAACACAATGCTTTACCTCCACATGTCCACTGCTGGCACAGAGAAAACACACCACCCTGGGAGTAATAGGAACCGAGGTCACGATGCCTAACCCACCCATCTCCCAAACATTCTCCACTTCACAGTCCTCCTGAAAGTACAAAAGGATACATCACCATGCAGAAAAAGGCAACACAACATCAGTACAAAGTGCTCACATTGCTGCTTTATGCACTGCGCCTTCAATAAGGCCCTTCTACAACAGACAGCAGTTTTACTTCTACCTCGGTCTACTTTATAGCGTATATTGGAATAATCACAACCCAGCACTCCTCCTGTCAAGAGAGCTCAAGCAAACACTAATCTTCCCTCTCCAGAAAGCAAGCCTAAAAAGCAGGAGAAAGTTTCTTCACAATTGCTTATCACTAAAAACAGAATTTCACAATAGTTGAACTTTATTAAAAATCCACGTTTGTATCAAAACACTGACGAGATCTCACTATAATCTCCATTATTAACACTTATATAAATGACTGAAAAAATATTAGGAAAATATTGATTTTTATTATTTCAACATCGCTGTTCAAAATAGTACATGATTTATCAGTTTGAACCCCCAGATATCCCCAAAATACTGTGAATTACAAATTACTAACATTTTCCCCAAATCTTGTTGACCCAAGGTAAGGTTTTATAGTTCCATCTTAATGGAATCAATCTTCATAAACCTCAAATTCTTGCTCATCCTCACAATGAAAGTTAAGGTTTAAAGCTTTAAGTCTTCATCCAGTACTCTAATTATAAGGAAAAAAAAAAAAGGCATAACAAACTTCTAAGAATTAACCGAGGCAGGAAGGTTCCTATTTACAGTTCTCTCTGATTAGGACCAGACACACAAACTCAGAAGTCACTGTCAGCATTCTTGAGGGACTCTACTTCCAAGTGTTTAGAGTCAATTAATATTCAAATACTTAAAACATATTGTCCTCTACCTTGAAATCCACTCGGATTCTGTGGACTCCATCTGTAGGTGGCTTTTGCTTGGAACTGCTCCCATTAGTCAAAGTGCTGAGCAAATTCAGCGTGCTGCTTTCTGGCTTGCTTATAGGAGGGGGCTTTTCCTAGTCAAGTAAAGGAGCCTGCATTAATCCCAACCTCAGACATCAAAACTTCAACAGTAATTAAACACTGTACATGATTTATGTACCAGAAAAACAACAACAAAACCCAATTCATAACATGACAGAATTAACATGTGTATAAAAGTTGCCATAAGGTAACCATTCTGCAATCCATTTTGAAAGCATTCCACAAACAACTGCATTTCTAATTCAATTTGTTGCATCTCCCCCTACCATCAGGTTATTCTCTCTGATCAGTGTTATTTTTTGCTTTGTTCCAGTGGGGCAACTCTTGGGGCAATTACGACCAACACATTTCTCTCTCAGATTTAAGTGTTGCTGTGCTTTGTTCTTCAAATGGACAACCTAACGTTCACCCCACGACACACAAAGCTCAGTAAGAATTAACACCTAAGCCGAAGTATGGGCATACACCAGATAAATTGGCATCCACCTACTGGCACAAGGTAAAGCCTAGCGTTTGTACAATTTGCTCAAACTCACAAGAAATGACACGTTTCTCATTGACAAGACTGAAAACTTCCTCCTCAAATCCCACAAAAGATCCTGAGTAGCATCAGGAATCGAGTTAGATCGGTCTGAAATCAGCATTCAAAGGAAAAGGAGCAGGACTGAATTCCTACAGGTATTTCAAGTACACAAAAATGTGCAGAAGGGTTAAATAACACAGTTTTACTTTCTAGACAGACAGAGGGATGCTCTCGAAATTTCTTGACTGTGTACAAAAAACAGTATTCACCTTTTCTTTTGGTTTCTGTTTCACAGGGAAAGTTGGACGGGGAGCAATTTTTTTCTGTTTGTTTTGTTCTGTGCCTAGGAAGGGGGGAAAAATTATGAGTATTTCAAGTAACTAACAGGCACCTGCAGAGAAGGGAAAAAAACAACAACCATATAATGAGATGAATTTTAGACCTCCATTTTTCTACCATCTTTGTGACTGTGCATCACCACCTACGACTGGGACAATCTGCAAGGCATGGCCAGTCGAACCTGCTCTGCTCAAACTCTGAGGTGTTCCAGGTGCAAAGCAACAGAAGTCCTGGAGCTGCCTTTTTGGTCACTGTCCACGTGCAACACTAGGCTATGTTTTGTAGTTAAGACATCACACTCCTGTTGTTTCACATTCAGACTGTCAGCAAACTTCACAATATTGAAAACATACTTCAAGACTGTCAAGACTACATGACTAAAAATCACATTAAAGGTCGTCACTTATCTTCCCATCCCAATAAATTATGCAGTTCAATAAAAGGAAGCCAGTTCTAAACAAAATTCCCAAAATAACTTGCTTTAATTTCACCAGATCATAAGGCATTTATCAGTCTTAAAATCCAACAGATTTTAGCAGCATTAATACTGTTACTTAACGGGATTCACGATTCAAACATATTGAAGATAAACAGTCCCATTTACCTATTTCTGGCTGTGGAGGCTGCTTTTTCTTAGGCTCAGAAGCAGTAACTTTTGGTGCTTCCTTTTTCAAAGGTCCTGAGCTTGGTGGCTGAGATGGAGGGAGCTGTACTGGCTGGGCTGTTTGTTTGCCAGTCTTTCTGGCACCAGATGCAGGGGTCTGTTTGGGCTCTGGTGGGGGCACAGAGGAATTCCCATCCTCATGCTTCTCCTCCACAGGCTTTCGAGCAGGTTCGCTGCTCTTCTTTACAGCACTGTCTTCTCTTGGTACAACAGCTGGAGGAGTTGGTTTCTGTCCAGAGTCCAGTTGGTTCTTCCCAGAATGACTTTCTTTCTTTTCATTTGTCTTGGATTTCTTCTCTTTCTTTTTTGCAGCTAGAAAGAAAAAAGCATCAGTGAAGTAACACATATAACATCATGCAACTTCAGATGACTCGGTGCATCTAAAAAGCTTTATTTTGAAGGAGTTCAGCATCCTGACCACTGTGACAACATGCAAACCTCCAGAGGTCCAGTGCCAAGGACACAGGGATTTAACAAAATACATATGACATACACACAGCTCACTTAAGGCTTCTGTCAGAGATGAGGATGTGCCAAGGGATTTATCAGTCCTCATATCACTTAGGAACAAAGAACCAAACCTCTGAGAATTGGCTGAGCTTAAGTGTTGAGTGAAGGCTCATCAGCTGCCAGCAGCTGTTCCTTACAAAAAGGAGGAGAAACTGCAAGTAGAGCTGAAAAAGATAACTGCTGTCTGTTTACAGTTGCTAGCTGTATTCGCATCTCTCCTACAACTTTTACAGGACCCAACAAAACAGTCAGGCTCTCTGTTAGCTTTGCTTTCATACTAAACTTCTATAGCTGTGTGCAGTTGCAGTGAGAGCAAAGAGCAAAATTGAAGGTATGAAAATTTCTCTCATCCTGCACTTGAGCCAAACCTCCCAGCCTACCTTTAGCTTGCTTCTGGAGATATGCTTTTGAAGGCATCCACTGTAGATTCTGACACTTTCTCATTCTACAAAGAAAGAAGAAGTCACCCAATCAGAAATCAGAAGAAAAACACAGGTGTTAGGAAGGCATTCTGTAAACACTGAACATGATGGGGAAAAAAAAAACCAACCAGCAAACAAACCCATTATCCATGCACCCACCAAATTTCTCCAAACCGTTCTCTCCCTCTTCAGAAACATTTAAAAGAATCTAATTTTCCTGTATTTTCTTTTTCTCCCCTACACTTACAACACAGTTTCGAAGATAATAAAACTCTGCTTCACTGGTAAATACCCCATCACTTCCATTTCTTAGAAACTGGCATTTGAGTAGTATCAGAACAATTCTAAGAACTCTAAAACATCAAAGACTCACCAGTAGGTTTTATGTAACCCAAACAGGCCATTTCAGATAAAAAAATATATATATTCCGTTTCCATGAAGTGGGATTGAAGTGTGACCAAATATTTTTTAAATGCTCAGTTCCTGTTTTCCTCACAACTAATGCATGCTGTCTTCTAAACACTGAGCAACAGACTGTGTTTCTGCCTTCGTTCTTGTAGTAAAGTCAGTGGTTTTGAAAGCCAGCTCAAGGCCTGCAAAGCTGCTAGGAGTTAGACTACTTATGTTCAGAAGTCTGCTGACTGTTTTCACACAGATGAGCACTCCACAGCAATTCTCAGAGCTGCACTTTATAAATAGCTTTTATATGACAACAATCTTTCTGATACCACTTCATTTGCTGCCTTTTCAGACAGATTACCCAGTCTGGAAAAATCAGTTTGATAGAGCAATTAAAAAAGCAAAAGGTTCAGACTAAGTGATATGTATAAAACGATGGGAAAACTAAGTAAGGGAGTTATTTCTTAATGATATCCAGAGACATCCTTTTATATGAAGTGTATATTCATGAGATAAACTTCATTTGGAAAAAAGAAGCCCTCCATAAATGCCTTCTGGGAGAACTGGAGGTAAAATATACATGCATACATCACCATTCTTGCAATAATAATCCCTCACTCAGAAGGTGGTGAGGCACTGGCACAGGTTGCTCAAGGAGGCTGTGGATGCCCCATCCCTGCAGGCATTCAAGGCCAGGCTGGATGTGGCTCTGGGCAGCTTGGTCTGATGGCTGGTGACCCCGCCTGTGGCAGGGGGTTCAATCCAGATTGATCATTGTGGTCCTTTTCAACCCAGGCCACTCTCTGATTCTATCAATGAGCCATTCTACTGAATGAAAGTCACTGGTCTCATTTCAAATGGCTCTCAGTGCTACTATGACAATTTCTTCAAAGGAGGAATAAGTTGGAAGTGAACTTCAGAAAAAGACCTCATGAAAAGCATGCCTTGAATCAGGATCAACACTCCTAAATTAAACTGCGTTTAATTCCCTGTAGTGATCCAGCCTCAGCTCAGGCCACATTCATCCAAAGCCTACACAACAGGACTAAAAGCCTGTTGTTTCCCATCCCATCGTGTGGGTGTGCTTATCCTGCTCCACACAGAGATTAACCAAGCAGTTTCTCAAACACTCAGACTTACTTGCAGCACTGCTTCTTTATATTCCGCCCACCAAACTTGGGTTTGTCCAGACAGTTCGTGCAGACACCACAATCCTCTGGAACCTGACAGCCTGAGCACTGCCCACAGCGCCTTGAGCGTCGGCCCTTCTTCACTGGAGGTTCCTGCTGTGCCTTGTTTCTCGTTACCGGCTTAATTGGTTTGATAGGTGGAGCAAGAGGTTCAGCCTCTTCGGAGCCAGCTATTGATGATTTGTCTATTAGAAAAAAAGTTTGCTGAATTCACGCAAGTCCAATGATCTTTCAGAAGTATTTAGTGAGCTCATGGAAGCTACTGTGTTAAATCTAAGTTCATCCACAGAGCCACATAAGGGGCGTGTGCGACCGTGTCTGCATGCATGCACACATACACACGTGGTACACACACACACACTGCTCCCAAGAGACCTCAAGTGCAGCACAGAACAGACTTTTATAAAAATTAACAATGGTTAAAAGGATTAACCTTGTCTTAGTGGCATGTTAACACGGAGCCCAGATCTGCTTAACGTACTACCCCTTATTAACTGCTCGAAGATCTCACTCTCACAGGCTCAGACATGGCTGTACTTATTACAGATGTCAAGATGCCATTAACCCAACTAGTCAGCGAAAGCAGGCTTTCCATGAATCCACAAGTGAAAACTGGAAGTCTTACCATCATTCCCCATGGAAGACAGAATCTTCTCTCGCTCTTCCCACGGTAAGGCACTCAGAGTGGGCATGTCATCAGGAAACACCGCTCGCTTGCGGCCCAGGGCAACAGCTGCTCTCCTGCAAACATGCTTTATTCGTGGTCCTCGGACTGACGTTTCTGATGAATCGCTCTCTTGTCCCTGCATTTCAAGATATGAAAACAGACAGTGTTCCTAAGAAAGGCACAAAAGTGGGGCTGTGACACATGCAATGGAAACTTCTAAATAACCTAAGAAGAATTAAGAAGAATTAAAGTACGCCCTATCTTGCGTTTTTAAGAGCCGAGGTAAAAATAAAGACTCTCAGCCTTCTAAGCCTCAGATATCCACGAGAAGAAAATTCAGAACAACAAGAAGCTTTATTCGTTTGGATTTACAAAGTTTCTACCTGCTAGTAGAAAGCAAACTCACTCGTGAAGCCTTGTTACCAAAGCAGTGGCATTAAAACCCAGAGTTGAGTGGAATCAGGATAAACAGACTAATGTTGGGCACTAACTGATCTGGCAGAAGACAGAAGTCAGTCAAGCTGTTTAATCAGGCTCTTTCACAGCTTTGTAGCTGTTAGGATGAGGGCATTGTGTTTACTGAGGTGATAAATGCAGCAGCTTAGAGCAATTTTCCCCAAACAATTAATTGCAAGGGTCTGGGCTTCTTAGTATAAACATAAAACATGCATACACGTTTTCCTTTCGGGGACAAAAGACAAGCACTAGTAATTTCTAACATGAACATTCTCAGGGAAAGTAACACTTCAAATAAAAAAGGAAATATTCTGTGAAAAGGTACTGCTATCATGTAACACCTACCTTTTTGATAGCTAAATAGATTGCAGGGTGGGTTTGTGGTGGGGCAAATGCAGAGAGGGAAGACAGGAAAGCAGTAGGAATCAGTTTTCCAACCAGATGCAAAATCCCAATGGATTTTGCTTGTGCCCATAAGTAACAGATCAGATCATCATATGAGACAGTAACAGAAGAGAGCTCAAGATTAATTCCATCTTCAGAAAAACGACTGCAGTCTGTTAGAAACCTGCTTTTAAAAATGCACATTACCCTTGATGTTCACTTTGCTTGCATGTGTACAGAGAAACCTAACAACCAGCTCCACTGTAGTGTTCTCCAAAAATGCACCCAGCTCCCCCTGAGCTGAGCACACAGCAGCTTTCTCTCCCCCTCAACTTCTGCCCATGCCTTCTCATTTTTGGATCCCTTACCATCTGTTGCACTAACAGCTTCTTAGCCTGGCATGTTTATTCTTCATGCTCAGGATATGAAAGCTGCTTGTGATCTGCAGTGAAAATGCCAAACAAGATGGACCCCAGCAAAAGAAAAAGAAAATAATAAAAGAATACCTGTGCTTTTGGCTGATCTGCTTGTTTGAGGGACTTGCTCTTCTCGATCTTGTACAGCTGGGCTTTTGCTTTTTTCAGAAGACTGGCTACCCTTTTGTCAGTCATTGGCAGTTTGTCTGCTTGAGCCAACATAGAGCTGATGGAGGAAGCGGAATGTTTAACGGTGCTTGAAGCAGGAGTAGAGAGACGCAGAGCTTTTTCCTTCTCCAAAGCCGGCACAGCAGGGCTGAGGTCCAGATCTGATTTGTCTAACCCCCCTCTACCTTTCTTGGATGTTTTGGTTTTGATGGCTGTTGTATCTACCAGAGCAGCAGTGGAAACATCTGCCACAGGATCTATTGCTGTAGACTTCCTCCGCCCGGCAGTTTTTTTTGCAGAAGATGATGCTGCAACATCTTCACTGACAACTTTTTCTTTGGGCATTTTACCTACAGGAAACAAAGCAGAGCTACTCTGAATTTCTGACCCTTTTCTCCTTTTCTCTTTCCTTGACTCACGTTTGTTCTCCTTCTCTCTCTCTCTGTCTTTCTCTCTGCTCTTGTCCTTCTCCACACTCTTATCAGCGTCTTTATCTTTGGACAGTTCCTCTGTTGCCCTGTCTTTGTTTCTGCCTCTCTCTGTCTGGGGACTTGTTGTGAACCAAGGAAAGAGAGGAGTAGGACTACTAGATGAGAAAGGCTCTGCTGGAGTGCTAGTCTGCTTCCTTTGTCTCTGGCTTCTTTCTGCTGATTCCCCAGACTGTGTTAGGGAATGGGAAGGAAAAGTAAAAGTTGAATTTAAGGCACTAGTGGCAAGAGAACTAACAGAAATGCTAGTTAATGAGGAAGAGACAGAAGACTGTGGGGTGAGAGTTGTCAGGTCAGAGGTACTAAGTCTCCCACTTCTGGTCCTCATGGAGTGCGAAGGAGATCTGGGTTCTGAGCGGATAGGGCTAAACACTTTTCTCTTTCGTTTCCTAGAAGAGACACCTGTTGCAGAAGTTCCCGTAGTGGTTCGACCAACGGATGAGGGCAAAGTTACAGACTCAAAGATTCTGGAGTGGGCCTCGCTTGGAGTGAATCTCGGAGCTCTCAACAGAGGACTTCTCTTGTGCATATCAAATCTTGTTCCAGAATGAAGAGAAAACAGACGTGCTGGAGCCGTAGCACCTGGCGTCGAGAAGCCAGATGCAAAGCCAACGTCCTCCGGTGTCAGCGGTGGGGGTCTAAAGTTATCAAATATTGGCTTGCGAATAAGACCCTCTTTGGCATATTTTGCTGATGAGAAGTACTGTGGTTCTGACCTGGAATGCTTTAGAGAGGTCCACCTAAACGTTGGCTCTCGTAGAATTGATTTACGTTTCTCTTGCATTGGTGCAGCAGAAGCAGGAAGAAAGGGTGAAGCTAAAGGTATGGTAGGAGGCATAAGCCAGGGAGTGTGGTCTGAGATGCCAGAAGCAGGTTGCAGTGGTGGAGGAGGAGTGAGCAGAGGGGGAGGAGGAGAGGAGGAGGACTGCTGCTGTGGCACACTTGGCAAGGCTGACAGCTTTTTAGCAGCCCTCTGGCCAAAACTTCTTTCTGTTATGGAAAACCTTCTGTTTCTCCTGTCGCTGTTATCATTCTCAGGGGACTGAGAAACGGGTAGAGGTGTGTGAACTTCTGGAGTATTACTTCGCTCCTCAGAAAGCGTCTGCATCTCCTCAGAAGCCTGAGAGTCCGTAGACGTGTCGACGCTTGGGCTACTGGACCGGGAGGAGTCTGAAGACATCTGAGATGAATGCTGAGAAGCAGCACTGGATTTTTCACTGGATCCACAAGACGTAGCACTGAACCTGCTGTTTGGCGTGGATTCTAGTCGGGATATTTTAATAGGAGGGTCGTAGTCTTCATCTTCAATGAACCGCTTGGGTGTTTTAATAATCCGTGAAGAGATAGCACTTACAACTGGCATGATGAACTGTCGGATGTTTTTCAGCTGGGTTCTCCCCTTTCTGCCCTGCAATTTGGCTGCTTCTTTCTCAATCTTTTTTTGTGCCCCCTTCTTAGCCCTCTGCAAGAGTTGCTTAGCGATTGTTGCATCTGTCCTTTTTGTGGAGGGTATGATCCTAACAGGCTTAATCCTGCGTGGACTCTGTCTGACAGCAGTCTTCTCTTCCTTCGTAGGAGGCGGCGTGCCATCCTTTTCTTTACGTATCCTTTGGGGTTTCTCCAGCTGTGAATTTATGACCAAGCTCGAGGAAGTCTTCAAACGTTCAGAAGATGGCGGCCTTCCTCTCCTGCGCACAATCTGAACGCTTTTCCTCCCTATTTGAAGTTTTGCCCCAGGCTTAAATTTAGATTTTAGTGGGGAGAGTTTACTAGTTCTTAATTTCTTAATTTTAGTTGCTTGCTGAAATGTAGTGGATGGTGACCTTTTGATTTTTTTCAGACTCTCTTTATCTTCTTTGCTTCCCTTCTGAATATCTGATGCGTCCTTTACTTGCGACAACTTGAACTTTACACTAGTAAGCGTTGGAGGTCTTCCTCGTCTTTTTTCCCCGCTTTTCAGATCCTTCTTCTTTACTTTCTCCATGGACGTGGTTTCAGACTTGCTTGAAGGGGAGCACACTGATGAAGAGTCTGACAGTACAGCTGAACTTCGGTCAGAACTGCTCCGGGGCCTCCCACGAGGTTTTCGTGGACTAGATTTAACTGAGAGGGAAGTAGACAAAGCAGAGTACACATTAAATTTCTCTGAGTGTCAGCTCAGCGTTATCCAGGTCACACAGGTATTTACTCAGTATAAATCACATAACGCAGACAAGTTGCTAAAATACCTCAGTTCGTTAACAAATAAAAAGAGCATTTTATCAATATATAGATAAAGAATTCCATCACAAAGTAAATCTCTTAAAAATCTCTAAGTAAAGTAATAGAAAAGAAAACAAAACCCTAGTTTTAGCTTTGAAACACATTCAGCATTCAAGACTCCAGTTAGAATCATCAAGCAGATGTGCACGACTTGATTACTCACCTCTGCCAGTGCCTCTCAGTTCATACCCAGCTATTCCACTTCTGGGTCTTCACATAGCTCTCACTACATACTTCATTCTTCATGTTAAATGCCCTATTAGCAAGGCTGTCCACAATAAAATTCACTGGCAAGGCCAAATTGAGTAGAGCATTGTGGTGAATGAGCAGAGTACTGTGGTGAGAGCAATTATTGACAAGAACCTAAAATCAAAACCACTCATTTGCTTTCAAACCCATTGTGATTTCATCCTATCTCTTCAACAAACCAAACCTAAAGACACCACAATGACAGACAGCATCCAAAACTAAACCGAATCCAAGGACCATCCAACGGCCTTTGTGGTGGATGAGATTTAAGACAAGAGGCAGGAAAGACAAAAGAGCATCACAAAGGAGCACATGAAGACAACATCCATTCCTGCGACTTGAACATACCTGTGGGGGACCGGGTGGGACTTTGTACTTTGATTTCTTCATCTGAACCAAAACCTAGGAACTGCTCATCCTGAAACAAAAAAAGAGGATTAACATTTGGGAGCTTCAGCAGGGCCTTTACTTCCCTCCAGCCCCCACTCTGAGCAGCTTCTCCCTGCTCCCACCAGAGCCACGCTCACAGCCCCTGGAAGGAAAGCACACAGTTTCATGGCTTCTGTCAACCTCGCAGGCCTTCACATGTAGCCCACCTCAACACCTCCACCACCCAACGGCCTCCAAGCTGAGCAACAGGCTGGACTTGACTCCAGCTGCTGACGAGAAGACGGAGCAATCCTGAAGGCATCGTCTGTAACAGCACTGACACCTGCAACAGCACTGAGCGTATGGAAAACAGCACTAACCACTATGGCTTATTTTTTATCCTGACAATGCAAACAGAAACCAAGAAGAATCGGGGAAAAAAAACCAAAACACTACAACAAGTGCTGTAAGACAAGGTGCAGACAACAAACTAAGTAGCACCAACACAAGGCTCATCTCAACTAGCAAAAGAGCTCATGCTACAAAAAGCTGCTGAGTCGTGAAATGGCCATTTTTGATACAGCAAAGCAAATCAATATTCCAATGCAATGTTCCAGGCACTCCGTTCACACGAAGTCAGGTTTCTCATGGAGTATGCAAATGTAAATCCTCGTGATGTGCCACCAATGTTTGTGACTCTATTTTTATGCTGATCTGTGTTTCCTGGTGCAATTTCACCTCGAGCAATTCTGTTCTCCATTCTTCAATTCCCTCTGCACTTACAAACAGATATGCCACTTGCTGCTTGCTTCTTTAATCACCTGTGCACCCTGGCTGCATGCTGGAAAGTAACTTCTTGTTCTACCAGGAAGGTGCCACAGCTCTACTCGCATCCCTTTCTAACAACCCAAGTCTTCATTGAGCTCTGAGAGAGGAAGTACCTGAAAAATAGTATGCTGAAAGGACAAAGGTGCAGTACTAGGGAACAGGAGACCTTCAGCAGTGCCAATCAACAGCAACTGCTTAATTTATCTCTGTGCTGATTCAAGAGTATGTTGAAACAGTGCTTTTTCCCCATCTTGTGCTTCATATGTTAAATACCTAATTCACTTACACTCAACTGCTGAAACAATAGTTTAGGTTTAAAGAAATTAAACCACTTGCCACTAATCTGTATGACCATCCCCAGGAATTGGAAATTCACTCAGGTATTAAAAAATGCAAACCCAAAATACACCAATTCTACTTGGGTAGCTGAGCTAGCCCAACCCCTGGAGGTTTCACACCCCAATAGTTTGCTAGCTGAATGGAACTTGACACATTGAGAAGCCATTCAAGCTTTCAGAAGAGAAAACATTCTAGCACACCTACTGCAATAGAGACAAACAGTGCTACATAAACTCATAACTCAATTAAAAAAAAAAGTATACCCCAATGGCAAGAAGTGCTGTTTCTACCTGATGTATCTTGCATTGGGCAGAAGAACCCATGACCTTTCCCTGAAAGGTATAAACCACCACTTCCCAACGTTGATTCCACGTTAACAGGAAGAGAAGCCAATGCCAAGCTGTGAGCCAGCAGTGCAGAGCAGCACTAAGATCCAGGCGTCAGGACAAGCAGCACGCTGCCAGTCCATGAGGCTCAGCACGAGGCCGCAGGGAGCAGCACCAGAGCAGAGCTGTTGTGAGACCAAACCACAGCCCTCCAAAATATCGATTCCCAATCTCTCCTCTAAACAGTGCCTTCCAAGCTCAGTCACTGGCATTCAGCCCTGAACTTTCACTGGTTTTCAGTTTCCTTCCTTTCTTCCCTTACATCCCCGTTAATGTAGCTGTCACTCCCACTATGATAGCTTCATATTCTCTCTTCCTTGTCCTTCTGTTTTACAAGAGCAGATCACAAAAGCGATGCTCCCACGCTGCTTGCAGTGCTCTCTCCTGACAAGTCCAAGAGTCCAAGCTGCTGTTAGAGCCACACCATCCATTCCCACTCCCAATGCTCCCTGCACATCCACCTGACCTGCTCTGCATTTTTTTGTTTGCACTCTGCTCACCCAAAATCTTATCTGCCTCTTCAAGCACTAAGACAGACTGCGGATGGAGCTGTGCAGGATGCATGTGAAACAAGCTGACAGCTACAGGCTTTGGAGCAGAGAATGCTCTTCATAAGGGGGCTGCTGAGCTAAAGTGAGAGAAAAAATAATTAAACTCCTTGCTGAGAAGAAGGCTAACAATAACTATTAATCCTAAAGACCACTTGGTGTAAAAGATAGCAACGATTTCTTTCCATAAAGCAATTCAGTTCCAAGTCTCTCAGCTCCAATTAAACATCCCCCGGTGCTCCATTCATTTGCTGCGCAGAAACAGCGCTGAACGAGGGGAGCTCACAGCTGCAGCTCTGGACCCACAGTGCTGCTGTGCAAAAAGCACCTCTACAGAACAGACTGCTGAAAGCAGCCCTTTTAAGGCTTTTAATACCAAAAGCAACTGGAAGATTTGGTCGTCGGGTCTCACACAAGCCTGTCCTACATGGAAGTTCGTAATCCCAGCAGGTACAGTTGTGTAAGTTGGGGTTTCTTCTTCATTTGGGAAAAATAAATAAATGAGACTTGAGGAAAATCATGCCCCACCAAGAAAGGCCGTCACCACCTTATATTATACAAAGCCCTTGGAAACTTGCAATTAAAAATAAGCTTACTTAAAATAACAAAGGGGCAAAGGCGCTGTGTACCAGCAGTTAAAGCCTAGGAAAATAAAACAATTATGTAGTTATTGCCATGAGGTGGCAGTTTGGCATTCAAAGATAAGCGTGGGACAGGCAGAAGCCTCACTCCTAATGGCTCCCCTGCCCAGAACAGAATGCTGGGTTTGAAGAAACCAGAACTCACAGCGCAGCCCGCAGGGGCTCCAGGTAACCCCCTCCACCTTTCCCTGAGCTTAATGAAAAGAAATAAGGACTCGAGCACTACTTTTACTTCCCCTAAGAAGTTTGCTCACATCTGCTTCCCTGCGGTCTGACCCAGGTCAGGGCTTCCTTACAAGCGCACAGGGAGGAAAGCTGGAGAAAATTCAAGGAAACTTGCACGGTTTCTGCAGAAGAATCCCCATTCCTGCCATTCTGAAAAGCAGCGTCCCGTAAGATCTCACAAAGCTACCATCCCACCCCAGCCATCACAACACAACTTGGAGATATGCAACCTCTCATCAAACAAACGGAGCCTGGGGCCATGAAGCAAATAGGATAAAACACAACTGTCTAACAGTCCTGATTTGGACTGCCTCTAAGTTACTGTCACTAATATGAATGCTGTTTTCTGTTGCGTTGTCTTTTTTAATTACATTTTTCACCATCCACACCATAATCCACAAACCAGAACCTGCATCATTTTCAAACTGACCACTGTTAAATTACAAGTCCAGTGGGTTAAATAAACCCTGGCTTCAGCCCAGTACCCTGGGGATGATCGTCCTCTCTTATTTCCTACTAAGCAGTCACAAGAATTGTCTACAGCGAAGAGGCTCTCCAAAAAAATAATTACTTTGGCTCCATTTGCAGAAGTAGCATGACCAATATGCCATTCAAGTTTGTTTGGTGATGTTCACGAGGGTATCGTTGACCTCCAAGTGGTCATTCTCACAAAGTAAGAAGGAGGCCATGTAAATTAGCCAAATTAGCAAAGATGGAGAAGGCTGCTAAGCACCGGTATGCATCTGCATGGCTGTCATCCATTCAGTCAGTCCTATGGCAAAACTGAATACGGAGACAAATAAAGCAGGAAGCCTCCCTCCCTCCTTTTTTCCGCAGTTGTTATAAAGCATGACAGATGGAGAGTGATTAAAAACCACGACGGTTTGCACACGACCTCATTTACCTGAGAAAGAATAACGCAACACAAAGGTCAGTCGGGATTATAAGTAATGGGATGAGGACAGGCTCACCTGATGGGCAAGGCTCAAAACAGCTCTGCATGCAGGGGCTGCCCAAGGTGGGCTGCACAGCTTCCCATGCACCTCCCCACCCAACACTCAGCTCACAGCCCAGGTCAGACCTCAAGGCTGTGAGTTGATGAGCGCAGTCGTGCCTTGAAGTAAGCTGGCTCCTGCAAGAACAGGAAAGTCCCAAGCACATCCCCATTTGAACTCAACTTACCACAGCACTCTGGAGCAAAATTACTTTCCAAAGAACTTGTGATTGAAG